ATCCATTGGCCTAACACCTCAACGTCCTGAAAATCTGTAAAGCCGTTCTCCCCCTTGGCGCGCCCGGGGAGTTGTCCTGATTTCCAGAGGAGGAACTGACAGAGGCTGTAGGCCTCGCCCTCTGTCTCCTGTGGACGTGGGACGAGAACCAAAAAGGGCCTCTTTATTTTGAAAAAAAAAAACAAATGTAAAGACATACCAGCCCGGAAGGATAACATAGAGCAAAAAGCAGACCACACGTTGGGAAAAGGCGAGGCAAGGGTCAGCGAGGTCGGGAAAGCCCTCCTTGCCACGCACCGCCGTTACGCTTTCCCGCAAGGCCTGGAGGCTGTCCAAGAGAGGGACGCGACGGCCGGGATTTTGGAAGTAGGAAGCGGATCCGCTCAGCCAGGAATTGTCGCAATTGATCATCAGCAAAGCCGCATCCTCGCCGTACATTTCCAAGACTTTGTCGTAGATTTCGTAGGGAAGTAAGCCCTACATGGGAGAAAAGAGATATGAACACCTGAGAGCTTCTTTCCTCCTTGTACTATATGCTGCCCATATCATCTTCTGCCCGTTTCTTGTCCCATAAGCACACCCGATGTTCACCTTGCACGCATGTCCTCCTCATGCGCGAGGCTTCCTCCCTGCATGATTACGTAATCCCCCTTCTATCCCCCTGGTGCTTACCCCGAATGCGTACAGTAAATCGTTGAGGTCCCCCCAGGCCGTGATCAGTATAGCATTGGTCAGAGAGCGTGATCGTGGATATTTCGCGTGCTTTAGCAAATGAAACACGTGCGTTAGACTCACACAAGCTGGCTCTGCCTTCAATGCTTCACATAGTGTCTGCACTATCCGGTAGCGCTTCATTAGCCGCTGAGGAATGGCTCTGCTTGTCGCAGCCCCGTCGAAGCTCTTCGATTGCTGCTCCTGATCCCTCGAATAGCTTTGCACGGGGGCGTAAGAGCCGGGAGGAAGGTGATATTGCATTCCATTCATGCCTACTGTGTAGTCAGGAGATGGGAGGTGGTGGAAGTGCCCGGAACAAAACGTCGAAAGTCTTGAGCCTCCTTGTACCTGGTGAATTATTTGTTTGTCCACGTCTTTCCTAAAAATAGTGCACATTAATGGTCAGGTAAGAACGCTTCGCAAGCGTTTGAGATGTTGCGGTACAACTTTAGCGCGGGCGATTTTTGTGGGGTTTTACTTTGTAAGTCGTGTTGCGTCTCGCTCGCTGTTTGGGGTGGGGGGATGAGCATAAAAATTTTCGCGTGTTTTCAGGGAATTTTTTTAATCATCTCTGTGATGAATTTTTTCCCATGATTATGATTTGAGACAACGATGCATGCGAAAATATTTGCATTACTTTCTTTTTTCATACGTGTCTTTCCTTAGGTTGTTATCGAGAATTCTGAGCTAAGCACGAGCTCACGTTCTCAAGCGTCTTGACATGTTTTATGCCTCTCCCTCTGACCTTTCTGCGTGCAGGGAATAGTGTCATTGGATTTCAAACATAAAATCGAGGCAATTTAATGTTTTACAAGGCTGCTTGAGGAGCTGACATAGTGGACAGTACATTGCTGCGGTGATAGCTTTTCCTCAGCTTTTCTCGTGTTCTCGATCTCTGCCGGATCTCCGCTCATTTTTTCTTAAGCCCTTTATTGGAGAGCATCATCAAACTGTTGGATGCCGGGAAAAGGTCAATGCAACATGCTTCAAAGGCCGACTTCCCAGCAAACAGTGAAAAGATTCAGTGGAATGAACGACGGCGCCTGGCTGCCGCCCGGAGGTTAGCAGCTTCCTACTCGTCTTCCTCCTTGCGGCCTGTGTCCCCCAAGGATAATAATGCAACAACACTCACAGCAGCCTGGCTCCGAAAACATTACAAGTGTGCCTCTGTCCCCATGTGGACGGAGGACACTGACGAGCATGAGGATACCCTTCGAAATGTAACACACTTAAGCCTTACCAGAAGCACAGACACCCCAGACATTACGAATCTTGAAACCCTTGGCGAGCTTCTACCGTCTTTGGGTAAGAAAAATTGTATGGGCTCATTCCCCCTTGACGTGACAAAACGATTATTTGAAATGGAATCCTCATTCTTTCTTCGTTTCTTCCTTTTCCTTAATCTGCCTCGTTCGCTTCAAGAATCCTTTTCTCTTACACACAGTTGCCTTTCCTCTCTTCGTGACTTGGGCTCCCGCCTTGGTCATCTTCGTGTCCTTGATCTGACTGCTTGCAATCTACAATGCCTGGATGGCATGGCGGCTTTTCCTCTCCTGGAGGAAGTCTATCTCTCACACAACCTTCTGCGCGACTTAACCCCACTGTTTCTCCACGACCATCTCACAATTCTTGATATCAGTCATAATTTGTACCTTCGTCTCCCTTCGTCTATGGCCCCACTGCATGTCTTGGCTTCTTGTAAGAATATGCATACGTTATCGATGAAAGAGACTCCTGTGGAAAGGGCGTTGCAAAATCTTGCGATAGGAAGTAAGATAGATAGCTCTTACCGAAAAATTGTCGGGTCACTTATTCCGCAATTACATGTCTTGGATGGAAAAAAGCTGCCAAAGAGCGAGAAAGATGGAGAAGAACAAGATATTGATGAGGCAGCTTGGCGCAATGTTGTATTGCTCTTACAGAAAATGGAAGACGAGGAGAGGGATGAAGAGAAGACAGAAAGATGGGAAAATAGAAAAGCTGATAGAGTTTCAAAACGCATTACTGACTGATGACAGATGACCGGGAAGGAAAGCAACAAAACGAGAGGAAAGTGCATATTGACACGTAGGAAAGCGGAGGTCTCAGATGCGGAAGCTAGAAGCAATAGGGTACTTCGAAAATACAGAGCGATCCGCCTACTTATGTTGAGACATTAATTTTTCGGTCTGCGTAAGCGTACATCAACATTTCTTGATTTGTCATCTTTTAAGCTCCTCATTGTTCTTAATTGTGAAAGCCTTCCTTTCTACATATTTCCGAGGCATGATGGTATCTGAAGCTGTACGCGTATGTAAAGCAAGCAGCTCAAGGTTACGCTCTTTTATTTATTTCATTCATGTTTCACTTGAAGAAGTACAAGTACCTTTCCAGATTGCGTGAGTGCGGGGTAAGCTCCCGTACTGCAGTAAAGGTTTTTGGCAAGCCAATAGACTATATCGCATCGTATTTGTCGCCTCAGCTGCTGCCTGGTAACGGCCAAGATTTAAATTTTGTCCTTGTCCACCACTGACCTCAAGCACACTTGTTTGGGATGTTAAAATGCGCATTATCATTCACACTTTCTTCTGGTCAATTTGAAGCATACCCTTTCCTTTTCGCTGTCACGGGATTAGCCCATTAGTCTCATAGGGGAGGTTGCAAGAAGCACACAATAACTGATTCTCTGCTCTTCAACACTTCAGATGCGGTATGTATAAAGCGTGTCTTTGCTCATGAAGGCACTATGGCGGACGCAGATGCTGTCGATTCGGCCACTTTCAGCGGCTGGGAGGCGGTCAAGACTAGAGTGGTCGCCACTTTCCTTCTCGATATCCTCTACAGCCTCAGCCGAGGGGGACGGTAGAGAAAGTATTTGCCCCGAATGCGGAGCTTCCTTCAAGTGTGGCTGCACTAAGGGGGACTGTACAGCATGTTGGTGCGCGTCCTTGCCCTTGGCACTTCCTCTCCCTCCAGTCCGTTCTCCTAACTCATCCCACGCCCCGGCAGACGAGCCTGTGTCTGGTTGTTTGTGTCCATGTTGTCTACGCGCTAAAATTGCGGACAGGAATGCGTGTAATTTGAAAAAGGCGGATCCTTAAGGGCAAATAAGGTGGATTGTGGAATTTGATAGCATGTCTTTCGGCATGCTCCCACACTTTGCCTCCATGACAACGATTAGCCCGGGCCCGCAAAAACAAATGGAAAGTGAAAGCCACAGAATGCTCGGAAGCGCACTTGCAATCTCCGCCATTCATCTCGCCCTACATCATTTCTTGTATCTCGGAGAAAGAATGCTTTCATGTCTTCATACCGGCGCCCTCTGGCACATGCTATCAACATACCTGTTATTCAGTCACTGCCCATCAGCCCGCTCTCATTCTTACTCGCCTTCCTCCCTCATATCTCGCCCTTTACTTCCCTCCTCCTCACCTTGTTCCCTTCCCATCGCACCTCTTCCTTTGCGTCCTAATCCCTCATTCCTTTCGCTGCCCCAGCCTCTTTTTTCCCTAAAAACAAGGCTTTCCATCTCTTCTTGTCCTCCATTCTTTCCCCTGTCCCTACCCGGGAGAGCTCTTTGTACGCTTTTCTAAATCCATCCAGCATCATCTTTTGCTTGTCCACCTTCAAAACATCCCCCAAATCGTGTTCTTTCGCGCTCCCACAGCATTCAAAGGGGTCCTCCACCGCCATCCGCCACAATACCTTAAACGTCTTCCTTCTTCCCCCCCCCGACGGCCCTCCCTCCGCCGGCACATCTCCCTTGTCCATGAGCATCCTTTGGCGGATCGAAACGACGGTGCGGACCGGGTTGAACTGGTACCCGTAATAATGAAAAAAGCCCCGCACGAGGGTGCTCAGAGGGAAAGAGGAAGGAAGGACGGGGGAGAAAGCAGCGTTGGCAGCGGTTATATCCGCACAGTAGGACACGTCGCAACCGAAGCAGTACTCGCGGTCGCGTGGGTGGGGTGGAAGGAGGGAGGGGTGTTGAAGGACAGGGAGGAGGCGGAGCTGCTGCAAATAGTGGATACAGAGGAGGGAGAGGGCATAGGAGGAGAAGAAGCCTTGAGCGGCCCCATTGCATTGGTGGACGCGGGTCCATGCCTTGACGAGAAGGATCAGGGGCCGCACACGGTCATCGCACTGGAGATAGGAGTAGAGGAGGGCTGGGAGGAG